TCCAACATTGAGAACATTGGTTCTCCGGCTATAAACACAATGAAGATGCAAATACAGAATAGAGGAGAAGAAAAAAAAAAAAACAAACAAAAACAACTTCCCCCGACCACAAACTGTTCATCCACTCTGGCCTCAAGCCCTGACTCTTGGCACCCACCTTCTCACTTAACGGTACGTGCTGGAATCAGGCAAGATGGGTGGGTTTCTTTCTCACTCTAACTAGGTGAACCTGGGCCTCATTTAACCAGCTGTAAAAGAGGGACACAGACCATCAGTGAGTGCTGCCATTTATATGCACTAATAAGGCAGGTGGTCCTGACACAATGGTATCTGGCAGGGTGGGCCCCTTGCTGGCTGTTCCTGAGACCATGTCCTGACACTTTACAACTGTCAGTCACTATCCCAAGGGTGACAGTACTCAAAACAAAAAAAGCAGCAGAGACTCATGTTTGCCCAGGTGACTCAAGTACTTTTCTTCAGATCATTCAAATGCTAAGGCAGGCACCACACACCCCGCCACCCCCACCCACCCTTTGCAATTTTCAGCAACTTCAAGAAAACGGAAGTGACTACCACTGGTTTTTAGAGACGGTTTGAAAACCATGACTCTGGCTACAAACGGAAGAAGGGGAAATCGTAAATGAGAAGGGAAGCCATTAAAAACGAAAACTAACTCTGTCTCTCCTGCAGCCCTACACCATCACCTCTGGTTTCTTGTTTTGCTGTGCTGTTCTAATGCCTGCAACACCAGCTATCCCTCTTAGCAGGTTCCCAGGTCCAGCCCCTTCCCTTGGCTTGGACAGGGCCTCACTGAGGTTTCTACACTGCTGGTGCCAGCACTGTCCCTCAAACACAGCTCAGTCTGCCAGGGAACCCATGGGCAGGTCCTTTATTTGCCAATCCTTCCTAACCTACCCTGGCCACCAAGCATATGGGAATGGAGGTCAAGGGCAAATAAGCCTCTAGGAGGGCCTTCAAAGACAGCCACCTGAGCACCCTGAGGATCAGCAGAGGCTCCAGCATCAGGACAGGCCCACAGGTCAACTGGCTGTCCTGGGAGAGGAAGAGAACCCCTTACCAGGAGCAGACCCACCAGTTCCTTAAAAGGCTGGGGGTTCAGAGACAACAAAATCTTCTGCCCCTAAATTCTTCTAATGCTAGTCAGCTCTTGGCCAAATCTGGAAAGGGGGTTTGGTTATCTTTTTTTTTTTTTTTTTTTTTGCGGTACTAGACTTTTAACTCAGGGTCTCACACTTGCTAGGCAGGTGCTCTACCATGGAAAGGGGATTTGGGACACTCAATTCCAAAGATGGAACCACCTTATGAGCAGGGCCTACAATGTGCATAGCTGCAGAGCATACCACCATCCTGGTAAGGCAGGCAGGCACTGAAGACAACCATTTGGAAGAAGGGGTCACATGGAACAATGGGATGGGACTTTCCTATGGCTTGGCAAAGCCTGGCGGGGAGGGATCCCACTTACAGAGCAATTCAGGCACCTCCCCATCTGATCCCAGAACCAACCTCCCAGGGGAAGTAGCAGCTCAGGCTCAACTCCATGGGATGGTTAGGAAACAGAGTCTGAGGACATTTGGCCAAGGACTGGGAAGGGAACTCAAAAGACTCAAATTCAGGTGGAGTGGCTCAAGTGGTAGAGTGCCTGCCTAGCAAGCATGAGGCCCTCAGTTCAAACCTTAGTACTGCAAAAGACTCAAATTCAGGATTCATCCCCTGGACTGGCCACAGATTTAAAGGAAAAAAGAAAATGACCAATGAACAGGTTTGAAATAGTCCTTGGAAAAACAGGGGGAAGCTGCCTGTGGTGGTGAACATCTATAAACCTAGCACTCATGCTGAGGCATGAGGGTCAAGAGTTGAAGGGCAACCTGGGTTATAAGGACCATGCGCACCAACTATATATAGGTAGCATATCTCCCACCCCACCCCCTTCCACTTATGATAACCAAAAAACATCTCCAGATATAGGTAAAAGTACCCTGGGTACCCTGGGGACTTTTTTGCCCAGTGTGGACTCAAACTCCTGGGCTCAAGTGATCTTCCTGCCTCAGCCTCCCAAGTACCTGACATTACAAGCACACCACACTGCACCTAACCAGGGCTCAAATCTCTCTCTCCAAACTAAAATCTTTGTGTGACCTAGACCAAGAACCTAACCTCACTCAGGCTCAGTTTCCTCATCTGGGAAATACCTCACAGATGGAGTTATTATAAGACATAACCTTTTATCCTGTAGGATAAAACTGATGCAAAACTGAGCCATAAAACTGACACAAACAGGGAAAGACATGGTGTGGCATGTGGAGGAGTACTCTCACTAACCAGAGTGTCCAGGCCTCTCACCTCACCTCTTGCTGCAAGGCTAATGGCATAGGCACTCAACACTTGTGCCTGACCTGACTACTCTCAGCCCCAGCTGGGCTGCTCCCTCCATCTTCCCTATAGCAATTTGAGCCTGACTAGCTCCTCCTGGGTCCATCAGGCCTGTACACACCACTTCCTTCAAAAAGTCTCCCAGGGCCTGTTTCCACAGCACCCCATGGCCACTTTGTGACAGCATATGCACCTCAGCTCTGTGACAAGATGTGCCTGTTTAGGCATTTGCCTCCCCTGGAGATGCCAATTTCCCAGGATCCAGCATTATTCACTGTATCCAAAGGTCCAAAGCTAAAGGTAGTTGTTGAAGTAATGAAAACTGAAGCCAGAGGGGAAAAAAGATCTGCAAAGGTCACCTGCCCATGGATCTTGAGTGGAAAAATAAAGGTGGTGTGGGGATAAGGAGGTTATCCTCTAATGTAAACAGTAGATGACCAACAAAAACGAACCACAAAAAAGATGAAAGTAAATCAAAATACACAGTAGCCACTCACAAGTCCCAACAGAGCAGATAAGCCCAAATTATACACGATACTCAAGGAACAAAGCAGGGTTTTCTGCCCATTGGCACTACTGACATTTGGGGCTGAATAAGTATTTGTGATGAGGGAATTGTCCTGTGTACTGCAGGAGGCTGAACAGCATCCCTGATCTTGATGTCCACCAACTAGATGTTGGTAGCATAGCCCCTCCCCCTGAGCTGTGACAACAAAAAAAAAATCTCCAGATATTGGCAAATGTCCCCTGGGGGACAAAATCAACACTACCACCCCATAAGAACTACTGAAAGCTGGAGGTATTAGCTCAACTGGTAGGGCACTTGCCTTGCAAGCAAGAGGCCCTGGTTCAATCCCCAATATTGAAAAAAACAAAACCAAAAAAAGAACTACTGAAATACATTATCCCAAAGCAAATAGTAATCCTAAGAGCTATTGATCCTGGTGTACACACTGCGCCCTGCATCCTGAACAGGCATCTACAGACATCACCGTTAATCACCACAACCACCCTATGTGGAGAGCACTCCTATTATCCCCACTTAAGGTGAGAAGGAGGCACAGAGCCCTTGAACAACTTGTCCAAGAACTCACCACTTGCAAAGGCAGAGCCAGAGAACACGAACCTAGATCTGACAAATATTCTTACTTAGAACAATCAGCCTTCACTGCCTCTTCATTATCCCAGTCCCAAGACTAGTAACTGAGCTTAGATAAAATGATACAGGTAGGTAAATTCTTATTTTTTCCTTAAACAACAAAAAGCACAGCACTTTAAACAGAACAAGCCAACTTCAACTGCCATTCCACCACTAGAAAGTGTATGTGGCAAGGTATGGCAAGCATTTCCATATGTACTGTACACATTACTATGTGGGATGTGTATACAAACGATGCATGTGAGTCCTTGCAACATTTGCCTCGGTGCTCACTCCCCCTCAGGCTGGAAGCAAGCCCACTGCAAGTTTCTTTACAACTCTAAACCCAGTACCACATCTGACAGACAAGACACAGCTTCCTTTCCAGAGGATCTTGCCTTCCAGACAGGTGTCATGGCAATAGCTGCCTCCTCAGTACAGATGCGCATGCACCTGTGTATGTGTGTGTGTGTGTGCTCTTGTGTGTAAAAAAGAGCCAGCCAGAAAGACCCTAACCAGAGGGCCCAGTCAAGGCCCTAGGCAAGCAACCCATCTACCCTCAATCACACAGCCCACCCAGGGCTCCTCCACGTTCCCACCTTCACGTATTTGCACGTGCTGTTTCTTCCGCACGGAAGGCCCTTCTTCCCACTCTCCATCTGTTAACTCCTACTCAGTCTTCCCAACCAGAAAAAGCCACCCATCCGGGCAGTCTCGCCAGTCTCTCCCACTCTGGGGCCTGATGCAGCAACGCCCTGGGTAACCTCCATCACAACACACGGTGATTGTGACTGTCCAACCCTACCTTTGTCTCCCCAGGGGCCCAGCACCAGGCTCCCCGTCCTGCCCTCAGCAGGCCTCATCTCACCCGAAAACAGTGGCTCCTGTGCCTCTTCATCATAAGAAGTCAGGCACAGCCAGGGGCAGAAGAGCCAAGGTGAAGGGAAAGCCCAAGGGTGAAGTCAGAGAAGCTAAGGGGCCCAAGAAGGTTGGTGAGAGTGAATGAGGGTGGCACAGAGATGGAGGCAGAAAGAGGGAAGAGGGATCTAAGGAGGAAAACCCGAAAGCACCCAAGGGAAGAAAGGGGGGGTGGTGAGCTGTCCAGGAGTCCCAGGCGGGAGGGCAGATAAAGTGGGTCCCAGTACGGGATGGTGAGAACGGGCTGAGAAAAGGGAGTGGGGAATGGCCGGGGTGGGGGTGGGGGGGCAGACTAAGACTTGGGGGTACTAAGGGGAAGAGACAGAGCCTTAGGATATAGAGGGTCGAGACTTACGGGGGTAACCAAGAAACTTGGGGTGAACGAGGAGAGACTTAAGGGAATAAGAGGAAAGACACTAGTCGCCTTGAGGACGATAAAGGAAGACTGAGCGACTTTGGGGACTGAGAAAAGAACCCTGGGTGGGAGAGAGAGGACCCCGAAGGGAGGAGGGGCGGGCTGGGAAAGGAGCCGGGACCCGGAATTCGCGCTCACCTGCGCGGGGGGGCGGCGGCTCCTCGCACTCGGGGCTCATCGGGGCGCCCCCCTCGCCCCGCCGCCGGCGGCTCCGGCCCTGTCGCGGGGCCGGGTGCGTGGGGCGGGGGTGGCGCTGGGGTCGCGCGCAGGCGCCTGGACCGAGGCTCACGGGCCCGCGCACGCGCCCTCAGGTCGGGGGCCCCCCCGCGCGCCGAGTCCCGCTGATTTCGGGGTTCGCAAATCTGCGCGGGGGCTTCGAGGGTCCGCGGAAAGGTGGGCGCGCTCGTTCGATGGCGGTGCTATGAGGCCGGTCGCGAGGGCCCGCGCAAAGCACCTCCGGGGGCAGGGACTGGGGATGGGGGGAGCAAGGGGGAAGTCGCCCCGACTTCTCCAGACAAGCCCGCGTCCGCGGACAAGGAAAACGTCCTCCTCCGCAACCCGAACAGGCCACAGAATTGAGCAGCGGCCGACGGAGGCCGAAACCCACTTCCTCAGTCGCAGCGTTCCCCGAAGAGACTGGATTTCCCGGCTCCGCAGTCTGTCTCAGGGCCTCTGGCGCCCGGCTCCCTCCGCCACTGTCCCACAATGCCCCGGGAGCGGGAGGACATGGGAGGCCCCGCCCTCTCGCCGCCGTCTCGGTGCGCAGGTGCGCTATGGACCGCGCGGTCAAACAGGCAATACGCATGCGCTCCAGGCTCGGCTCTCCGACCTCGCCCACTCCGGAACTTCTCTGCGGCCCGAGCGTCTGCGCCGGTTGGTGCCAACGGTCTCTCCCTGAATAAACCCGGACGACCCACTGCGCATGCGTAGCCTCTCTAGGCCTCCGTTCGAGTAATCCTGTTCCAGGATTTCTCTCCCCTTTCTATTCGAAAAGCGATTCGCCACTCATTTTCTGCCAATCACAGTTCTGTTTTGGCTCTAGGGTTAACTGCTGAGGACTCCATCCCGGCTTTTTCCTCTACCCACGCCCGGGGGCTTTTGTTCCATCTGTTTCTGTTACAACCGGTCCGCCGTTCCACGGACTGACCTGGGTCCCGCTCCGGCCATTGGTCAGACCGGGTCTTGATCTTCACTGTTGCCAGTTCCTGCACAAAGCCTCCTCTAAAAATGACACCCGAAGGGACCTCCTATGTCTTGTATCAGTATTCACTAAGTACCCATCCGACTCTGAGCTTCAATATCCCCAAGTCTATAGCCCCCGCGCTGCTCATAACTTAGAGGCTAGTTGTACGGTTTAGATGAGTAAGTGCATGTAAGAAACTTTTTTTTTAAACCCGTGGACTGATGTTTTTCATTTCAGGGACGTTTTTCTGAATGTTTGCATATCGTTCTAGTTCTGTGCATTTGTCCTTCCCACGTTAACGCCTCTAATGGCTTTAATCTTTGTCATTTTCACCTGCATTCGCTGATTAACACTTGCCGGTACTTTTTTTTTAACCAAGTTGCTTCTGGTCCTTGCTATTTCTAGCGTATTCGTTTTCACATGTGTTGCTTGGCCCTTGTATCAGCCAGCTAGTGCTGTGTGACAGACCACCTCAGTGGCATGGATCATGTTCACAGCTTGGAGTTGCAAGTACCAAGGGGAAATTTGGTAAGATTGATTCTGTTCCCTGTGTCTCATGCTGCCCAGAGCATCTAACAAAATGCAGGTGCTCAAAAGACCAAGTTCGTCTGGCACCCACCATTGCTCTTTTCTTTAATCCTAGCTATTTGGGAGGCTGAGATCCTGATGATCATGGTTTGAAGCCAGCCCAGGCAAACAGTTCACAAGACCCCCCATCTCAAAAATAACCAAAGCAAAATGGACTGGAGATGCGGCTCAAGCGGTAGAGCGCCTGCTTGATGCACTTGTGAAGTCCTGATGAGCTCAAACCCCTTCCCCACCCCACCCCACCCCACCCCCCAAAAGGAGAGACAATATTTGAAGTTTCTGGTGGCCTCACATTTGCCACCACCCATTGGTCAAAGTAAGTCACATGGTCAGGCCCAACACAAAGAGCAGGAGCATAAACTCCACTCACATGGGAACAATGTAGTCATCCCACAGAGGTGGGATGGAAGGGAGGGAATATTTATTGCACAGCCTAGTTTACCACAAGGTCTCAGTTTGTTTCCTCAGGTTTGCCAATCTTGCACTTTTATCTTTGCTGTCTCATTTTAAAGTGAACCCAGGTTCCTAATGTTACACAGTTAAAAGCAACTGTGAAAATTTTCCAGAGAAACAGAACCAATAGAATATTTGTTTATAAAGTGATTTATGGTGAGGGACTGGCCTGCATGAGAAGGCCCAAGAACACCAGCAGTGTCATTCCAGTCCAAGCCCAAAAGCCAGAGAATCAGGGAACCTAATTTGAGTCCTAAGGCCCCAAACCCAGGAGTAGTCAAGTCCAAGGACAGAAGATGGATGATCCAGTGCACACAGAGTAAATCTGCCATCCCTTCACCTTTTTCTATTTGAGCCTTCAGTGAATTGCAAGATGTCCTCCCGCATTAGTGAGAACAGGTCTTTACTGATCACTTTCAGAAGTAACATTTATGTTACTATCTGGGCATCCATTAGCCCAGTCACATTGACACTTAAAATTTAACCAACACAGAGAAGCATTTCTTCTGCTTCTTGCTTCTGTGTTGGGATTCTTTGTCTTTTGCCCAGCATTTGCTTATTTTTCCCCAGTGTGATGGCATTTTTGCCAAGTTGTAACACACTGTCTCAGGAACTGAAGGGCAGGAGAGGATGGCTATGTTCACCCTGAAAAGCCAGGAACACATTCCCTCCCTGGAAAGCTGCAGGGACTGAAATCTGTGTCCACAGAGATGACACTGTTACTGGTATCAGAACTGGAACTTCTTGAAGTTCCAATTTTAATAATCGGGAAGCAGTCCCCATTGTTTCCTTTTCCACATGAAGAAACTTCTCTTAGTGTCTCTCCTGGCCTCTCCACCCCTTGCAGAGGACACAGAATTATTCACTCAGATGGGCATTGTAGATCAGCCCTTCAGCTCTCCTTCCACTTGGAGCCAGTCTGCCACAGCATGCCTGTACTCTGGCCTGCTCCCTGCCATCCAAGGGGACGTCTGTACTTGCCTGGCTTCCTGCCACTAGCCTGAATGAAGGAGCAGCAGGACTGATACCATGTTGTCTATGGCTCTAACAGTAATAAGGGTGACATTTGATCAGTTTTCAGATCCTGCAGCTGCCTCTCAATTTATCATGAATTTGGGGGGAGAGGTGAAAATAACCCAAACTCCAAATCAACACAGAAATCCCAAACCACCTGACATCAATGATCCTGAGGGTTGGTGGAGCGGCTCAAGTGGTAGAGTGCCTACCTAGCAATAAGCTTGGCATAGTATGGCACTCGAAAACCAGAATACAAAGAAACCTAGTTTTGGGATTATCCCAAGTCTGAAACCACCCTAGGCTCAGCTTCCTCTTTTGAAAAATAGCATCAGTCAGAAAGACTCTGGGTACAAATGACAAAACTTCCTTTAAACAAGTTTATTAAGGGGGATGGGGCACTCTTCAAATGTCTGAGAAAGCAAGTCTGGATTAATGCTCTGCAGTCAAAACAAACCCCACACCCAACTACAAGCCTGCTCCTAAGACACATCAGCACCCAACCAGAAGCTCCCCCACCCCCCAAGCCAGGTGCATCTGTTCTCTGCCCTGGACAGAATGAATGCAGTCTAGCCAAGCCTCTTCCATCACTTTCCCTCACAGTCCTCAGCCCCCTCGCCATGAGTTCTGATTGGTGAGGCAGGAGTCACATGACTATCCTGCTTGCAAAGGATGCTGGGAAAGAAAATGGCTTCTAACTTAGGACATCAAGTCAAACTTAGAATTCAGGGATGCTGGGTAGCCAAAAAGGAGTACAGAAATGTCCCTCCCCCTACTCCCCAACAGAGGCTAGAAGATGAAAGGAGACAGCTCTGTGGATGATAAACAGCAACACTTTTATTATTCCTCCAATGGCTCCACAAGTCCCCTATGTTCATGCTTCTCCTGCCCTCCCTCAAGCACCCTCCAGAGGAAGTGACAATGGCAGCGGCAGTGGAAGGCAGGAGGAGGAGAAACAATTTTATTGGAAGAACAGTGCAGACATGAGGGGGGTGAGATATAGCATGGGGACATGGTCCAAGGAGCCAGCACCTTTCTCAGAAACCCCTCCAGGGGTCTGTCCAAAGACAGGCTGGCACACCCAGGCCCAGGCACCACCAAGGTACTGTAATCCCTTGGGAGATGGCATCGTGGGAGGGAGGGAGGCAGGAGGCCTGGGGTTCCCACAAAAGAGGGCAAGAAACCAACTGGTTTCACCGATCCATGCTGTCATCCGTCGGGCTGGAGAAACAGGTCTGTAGCAGCTTTTCGCAGAACTCCAGCTCCTCCTGGATTATGGGCAAGGGGGCAGTCCTGAGTGTAGAGGCCAACCCTCCCTCCAGCACACACAGCAGCTGGAACAACTGCTCTTCACTCCTGGTTACCACCTGCCCACCCCAGAAGCCACAAAGACTCTGCAGACCCCTGCTCAGATCCATGACTCACTTTCCCTTCTCACTGGTTTCTCAACTAGTGGGAGAACCTAAGGTCTCCCACTCTGGTCTATCCTCATACCAAGCTTCTTAGGCCTTTTCTAATTCTGAGACATTCACCCCATTTGCTCCCTACTCAAAACCTCTTCCAGATACAAACCCCAGAGGCCAGGAAAGGTTAAAACACATAAATATAAATGATGCCTCCAGGCAGAAAAACAAGCTGGGAAAAAAGACTTGTGATTCCTATCACAAAGGTCTCACATACTTAATGATAACAAGCTTTAAAAAAATCTGGGCACCAGTGGCCAGTGGCTCATGCCTGTAAATCCTACCTACTCAGGAGGCACAAGGATCACAGTGTGAGGCCAGCCTCAGGCAAATAGTTCAGGAGACCCTATCTCAAAAAAACCCTCACAAACAAGGCTGGTGGAGTGGCTTAAGCAGTAGAGCACCTGCCTTGCAAGAGTGAATCCCCGAGTTCAAGCCCCAGTACTGCAAAAAAAAAAAAAAAAAAAAATCCATTTTAGGGCAGGAGGTATGGCTCAAAAAAAAAACAAAAACACCACACAAAACAAAGCCCCTAGTGGATAAATGGGCAAAGGACACAAATAAATGATTCACAAGAAAAAGATACCAGCTTCACTCATAGGAGAAATGTGAACTGAGAAAAGGTCACACGGGATGGGGAGCTGGGCACTGTCATCGTTGCGGAGTGTGGAAGGGCTGAGCCTCCATGGAAAGCAACTTGGTATGTCATCTTTGACAGACCTAACCCCAGCCATTTCCTTCTTGAAATGCGTTCTGCAGACATACATATACAAAATAACATATACAAAAGGATTTTTAGGGGGAGGGGATATATTGAGATTTGGTAGGCAAGTGCTCTATCACTTGAGCCATGCCCCCAGTCCTATAAAAGTTTATTTCTTATAACAGTGTTTGTAATGATGAAAGAAAACAACCTACACTTCCTTTAAGAAATGGTTACATCAGTTGGGTATGGTGGAACATACTTGTAATCCCAGCTACTTGGGAGGAAGGGGTAGGAGGATCACAGTCTAAGGCCAAATCAGGAAAAAGTGCAAGACCCTAACTGAAAACAAACTAAAAGCAAAACGGCTTTAAGTTTAAGGCATGGTTTAAGTGAGAGAGAAATAGCAAGCTGGAGGCCCTGATGCGAAATCCCACTACCACCAAAAAAAAGGGTTATCTCAAAGAAGCCATCCACACCACACCACACCATACCACACAGCTGTAATGAGAGAGGAAGGAGCCACAGGACGAGGCACAGTGCATGCAGTAGTTGTTAGTAACTGGAGTAAGGTCAGGGACAGAATAGTGGTCATGAGAGGCTAACTTTGCATGAAATAGAAGAATTTATATGCACCTTTGCTCAGATGTGCACCTGTCTTAGGAAGAACAGGAGAAACTGGGAAAGGTTTCTGGCAGTTAAGGCAGTTAAGGGTATGAGAGAGAGAGGGGCTTTTCACTGTTTAACCCTCCTGTGGGGGTCAAAAAACATTAGGAGGGTTGAAGGTATAGCTCAGTGCCCAGTATGTGTGAGGCCCTGGGTTCAACCTCCAGCACCACAAAAAAAAAATTTAATTCTACCCAATGCCCACAAAGATATCCACAAAAGAGCACTGGCTCATACATGATCCAGTAACCTTATAAATACATAATTGAATTCCATAAAAATTAAAGTAGGGAGGAGGGGGGCAGGGGCAGGGGGGAGAAACGGCCCAAACAATGTATGCACATATGAATAAATGAATTTTAAAAACTTAAAAATGAAAAAAAATAAAATATATCTATAATATACTTTTTTTTTCATACTGGGCCTTGAACTCAGGGCCTACACCTCAAGCCACTCCACCAGCCCCTTTTTGTGAAGGGTTTTTTTGAGATAGGGGCTCATGAACCATGCCAGGGCTGGCTTCGAACTGCAATCCTCCTGATCTCTGCCTCCTGAGTAGCTAGGATTACAGGTGTGAGCCACCAGCGCCTGGCTGATCTATATTTTTAAACTCTGAAAAATTTCCAAGACACAAACATAGACACATGGGAAGGAATGTCATGTAAAACAGAGAGAAGAAAGGCCAGGTGTGGTGGTACACACTTGTAATCCCAGGAACAGGTAGGAGGACAAAGTTCCAAGGATGGCCCTTGGCAAAAACACAAGACTTTATCCAAAGAATAAATAAAGTACAAAAGAGCTGGGCTGTGACTCAAGTGGTAGAGCACCTTCCTAGCAAGCATCAGGCCTTGAGTTCAAACCTCAGTACCACTGAAAAAAGGGAAGGGGAGGGGCATACTTGTAATCCTAGCTACTCAGAATGCAATGATCAAGAGGACTGGGGTTCAAAGCCAGCCCTGGCAAATAGTTCTCAAGATACGGTGACAAAAAAGAGCTGGTGGAGTGGCTCAAGGTTTAAACTCTGGGTTCAAACCTCAGTACCACCAAAAAAAAGAAACCCACAGACGGTAAACCAAGGGCTGGCACAGATGGATAACAGTACTATAAGCTACAGAGGCAAGGAAGGCTCTTCAGAAAAAACAGGTTCCTGCAGACACTTTGATTTTGGATTTCTGGCCTATAAAACTGGATAAATTTGCTTTAAGACATTCAACTAGTGTTATAACTGTATAATACTTGTTTTTTCAATATCTAGTAGCAACATTTAAAATAGTGCCACAGAGTAAACAACTGCAGCAGCTCACTATCATAAGCAAACAACTAACTCTAAAAGTAAACATGTAAACTTTTGGAAAGTACAGTGTTTTATATGTAATTTTGTGTTCATGTTTTGGAACCCAATATAATTTAAATGAGAATTGCTTTCAATAAAGTGTACACCACATTTAAAAAGGAAAAAAGACATTCATCTGCAGCTGAGCTGGGATGTAGCTCAGTGGTAGAACACTTGCCTCGCAGTCTCAAGGCTGGGGTTCAATTGCCAAAAACCAAACAAACAATGACATTCAGTCTGTGGCAGTTTGCCACAGCAGCCACAGGACACTAATTCGTTAACTGTATGGTACGGTTTGGATATACAAAGGCTCACGTGCTGGTAGCACTATTAAGATCAAGATGGTGACTGGACCTCATGGATGGATTAACCCACTGAGGAATTCGCAGGGGGCCTGGTTGGAAGAGTAGTTCCCTGACTCCCTCCTGTCACCATAAAGGTGGGCAGCCTCCTCTATCATAGGCTCCTGCTGATGTTCTGCTCACCACAGGCCCAATGCAATAGAGCCAGCTGATCATGGGCTGCAACCTCTGAACTGAGCAAAGGCACCTCTCTTCTCCTTTAAGTTGACTTACTCAGGTATTTTGTCACAGTGACTAAAGGTGACTAACATACCCTACCTAAAGTGACAACACCCAGCATCCTCTATGCCCTCAACAGTTTCATTTTTCTTTATTGTAGTTCTAACTCCCTGATACCCTATAATATAAAACAGTACATATTAAACTACATATATTATATACACTACATGGGTGTTTCTCTATTTCTTTTTGGGTTTTTCAGACAAGATCTCCCTATGTAGTCCAGGCTGTACTTAAAACTCGAGATTCTCCTGCTCAGCCTCCTGAATACTGGGATTATAGGTGCATGGCACCATGCCCAGTTCTATGCCTATTTTTATGTGTTTCTATTACCACACATTTAAGTTCCCTCATAGGGAGGATGTTTCATGGATCAAATAGTAGAACACTTGCCTAACATGTGTGAGGTTCTAGGTTTAATCCCCAGTACCAGAAAAAAAAAAATTATCACTCCACAAGCCTATGAGTATACAGGCTGTACTTGTCTTTGTTCCCCAGTGCCCTGGTCAGAGCCTGGCACATGGGCTGCCTGCTACCTGATAAATGGAAGGAGTCCACAGTGTACATGTCAAAACTCACATCACATTATATACATATTTTTTGGCGGGGGTGGGGGAACTGAAGTTTGAACTCAGGGTCTTGTGCTTGCTAAGCAGGTGCTCTGCCACTTGAGCCATGCCTCCAGACCCAAAACAACTTTTTTTTTTTAAAGAAAGTAAAAACAAGTATTTAATTCACCTGAGGCCACTACCATGGGTGATGGGCACCTCCAGGTTGGCCTCCTTGGTGGGCACAAGGTCTACCACACTGGAAGCTCAGGGGATGCCTGAGCAGTGCAAATGCAGTGCATGCCAACCCACATGCTCCCCGCCTGAGATCCCAGGCCACGCCACAGCCTGGAGCAGACCCCAGCAAGAAGAGTTGGGAGCCATGTGTCCTGCCTCTCTTAGGCCCCCCTGCCTGTACCCCTCTGAACCCATGCCATGTCACTGAGTAGGGGACTAAACAGAACGGACATCCCAGGAGGTTGAGCACCTTTGCTAAGCTTGACTTTGCAAAAGTGCCAACATTGAAGCAGCAAGTATTTCAAACAATAAATGAGTTACTCACTCATTCACTGAATTATTAATTTCAATTACTGAATAACTATGGATACTTAATTGTGATTAATCATTCTTACCCATTTAATGAACTATGATTTATCTACTTAATTACATATCTAAGGAGTTATCACATTTTTGTTACATATTACCTAAACAATTAAATAACCATCATTTACTTTTTTTTTGAGAAAGAGTCTTGCTATGTTTCCCAGGCTGACCTGGAAATCACAGACCTCCTGCCTCAGCCTTCCAAGTGCTGGGTTTACAGGTATGAGTCACTGCCCCTAGTTATCATTCACTTATTTCTTATCAACCTAATGAGAATATGCAGTTGGATTTTCCTCCCCTCCACACTGTCTCCCCTACACTGACGCAGCACAGGGCACAGGGAGGCTGCCATAAATGTCTGCTGAGTGCTGAGGAAAAAACAGGGACAGAAAACAAGGAAAGAAAAAAAACAAGTAAAGGACCCTGGGACAGGGCCTGCGCCCCTCTCGGCCCGGTGCACAACCGGTCCACCCAGCTCCCACACCTGGTACTCCTCGTGTTGCTGCAGCAGCTCACAGCGGTGGCGCAGAAGCTCCTCCAGGCCCAGCTCAGGCTCCCGGCACTCGCGTATGCCCTGGGGGAAGTCTGTCACCAGGCTGTAGGGACAAGGGAGCAGCCTTTAGGATGCCCTTCTGCCACACAGACCAGGGTACAGTTCTGCTGCCCACCCCCACTTCTCCCATGGGAGCCAGGGTTAGTTGCTGCCCTGCATTGGGCCTCAGTTTGTCCATCTGCAAAATGGACCCCAGGCTGACCCACACTGCCCAGGGATTACAATGCCACCAGTATAAAACAGTGCTTAGCATGGTGCCTGGCATGGCACTAACTCTCATGGACCGACACTGGCTCAGCTGCTCCACCCATCATTGCTTAAACACAAATCTGCTCTACTGTTTGTGTGTGTGTGTGTGGTGGGGGGAGTAACAAAGACTTCAACCTCCAGGCAGATAAGGAAACAGGCTATGTGTTTCCTGGTCCACTGTAGCTCCGCACTCTTCATCCCCCACAGGAAAGGTACCAAGCTCTGAGTCCGCAGGCAGGATGAGACTGGTGGGCAGGTGCCTGAGCTGCTCAGGCTGTGAGAACCCACCCTAGGCCCATCACCCTAGGGCCCAGCGCACCTGCACAGGGCTCCAAGCACATGCTCGTGGAAAGGGCTATGTTCTGTCCGCACGAGGGCCACCAGCTGCTGAACCATCCCCATGGAGCACAGGGTCCCTGTGGGAAGGGGTGTGGGAGTCAAGTAGTCCCCACACCACCCAAGCCCCCCATGCCTGTCCTAATCCAGGATATTTCAATGGCTGCCCACCTTTGTGTTCGGGGTGGCCCACCAGCAGGTTCTGCAGCAGGAATGCCGACTTGACCTTGAGCTTCTGCACCTGCTGCTGCATGGCCCGCATGAGCACAGAGAAGCCATCCAAGCGGAGAAACTGCAGCAACCCAGCCTCCTGCTCCCGGACAAGGCCTGCGGGGAGGGGTAGGGCCTTGAGGTCACAGTCACCATTGCCACCGCCACCACCATCAGCACTACCACCACCATCGTTACAATCATCAGCACTACCACATCAGAAATCATGATTATTACCATCATCACTATCAGTCACCATCACCACCTCATCACCACCATCACAATTATCATCACTACCACAGTTATAACCATCACTGTCATCATCACCATCATCACCACCATCACCATCACTGTCACCATCACCACAGTCATCACCATCATCACCATCACCATCACTACCACCATCACTATCTTCATCACTTTCCATGGACCTGTGTTACATAAGCATTATGTTTATTGGAAATACTTTTGGAGGTATAATTCATAATCCATAACTTTTTTATTTTTTATTTATGTATTTTTTGGCAGCACTAGGATTTGAACTCAGGGCCTCAGGCTTGGTAGGCAGGCACACTTACCACTTGAGTCACACCAGTAGCACTTTCTTGTTATTGGTTTTCTCGAGATAGGGTCTTGTTAACTATTTGCCCGACTGGCTTGGAAACTTGATCCTCCTGATCTCTGTCTCCGAGTAGCTAGGATACAGGAATGAGCCACTGGTACTCGCTATAACTACTTTTTTTGCGGTACTGGGGTTTGAACTCATAGCCTTCACCTTGAGCCACTCCACCAGCCCTATTTTTTGTTTGAAGGGTTTTTCAAGACAGGGTCTTGTAGAACTATTTGCCTGGGTTGGCTTTGAACCGAACTGATCTCTGCCTCCTGAGTAGCTGGGATTACTGGCATGAGCCACCGGTGCCCAGCTAACTTTACCTTTTTGAAAGTGTATACTCAGTGGTTAGTATATTCACAAAGTGTGTAACTATCACCATCATCTAATTCTGTCTAGAACATTTTTATCATGAAAGTACCAATTAGCAGTCACTCCCAATTTCCTCTCCCCCTATCCATGAAACCATGGGTCTAATTTCTGTCTGTATCTATTTGCCTATCCTGAACATTTCATATAGATAGACTCACACAATATGTGGCCTTTTGGATCTGGCTTCATTCACTCAAGCCTCATGTTTTCGAAGTCCATCATGTCATAAATACCATCAGTACTTTATCTCTTTTTATCTCACAAATACCATACAGGTGGGTGCTCTCAGATTCCCACATTAAGGATGAGGAAACTGAGGCCCAGAGAGTCCTTTATCCTGAGGGCAAGGAGAACTCCAGAAGGCCCCCGAGCAGGGAAAGAGCGTGGAGGGGGTGGGTATCTACAGGGACATCAGTTCTTGGGCAGGCTCTGGCCTGGGCTGCCAGGACAGACTAGAGCACTAGTAACTCACAGCTTTAACTAAATACCTGACGTGACAAGTGTGAAGGAGGAATCGAGCTGTTTGTTTCAAGTTCAAGTCATTTCAACATAAGATAAAAAACCTGAAGTGGTGTAAGATATTCACATTAAACACAACTTCACTGTTTTGGTCCAGTTATACTTCATGCCAGCCACTGAAAATGAGCTGTCTGAACTGAGAGGTGCTTTAAGTGTAAATGCACATCAGGTTTTGAAGACTTAGCATGACAAAAAGATAAAAGTATATCCATATCAGGCCTGGCATGGTGGCTAACATCTGCAATCCCAGGTACTTCAGAGGTAGAGATCAGGAAGATAGTGGTTTGAGGCCCCAACTCAGGGAAAAAAGTGAGACTCCATCTCAACCAATAATAAAAGCCAGGCATCATGTTTAACACTTGTAATCCCAACTACATGGGAGACCTTAGTAGAAGGATCTCAGTTCCAGGCTGGCTCAGGCAAAAAAAAGTAAACAGGGCAGGGGACCATGGTTCAAGTGGTAGAGTGCCTGCCTAGCAAGCACAAGGCTCTGTGTTCAACACCACCAGGACGACCAAAAAAACAAATAAATACCATATGGATTATGTGTTTAAATGACAATCATTTTTTAAAAAATAGAAGAGCCAGCCTGTGGGGAGTGAAGAGAGTTGCCCCCACCTTCAACATGGCCTCTACCCTAGGGTTTCTCCAGCTATACAGTGCACACTCTGTGCTGGGGAGCTGCCTTGAGCACTGTTTACTCACCAGAAGTCACCAGAGTTGTGACCACTGGAAACATCCCCAGGCATTTCCCTGGAGGACACAGTTGCTTCCTTTGAGAACACAGCTCCCTCCTGCTCCACCTCCCCTCCTGCCTGGGTTACTAACACAGCCCCTGCCTCATCTCCCACCTCCCCCCTCCTCTCCATGCAGCTGCGGAAGCCACTGTTTTCAAATGAAATCCGAGGCCCCTACCATGGTCAATACTTTATTTAGTGCTAAAAATAAATGAGCTCACAAGTCGTATAATAACATGGAAGAACCTTCAATACCTGTGACTAAGGGAAAAGCCAATCTTGAAAAAGCCACATACTGCAGGGTTCCAACTACACAACATCTGGAAATGTCAAAACTCTGGAGACGTGGAAAGATGAGGGGTGTGATGAACAGGTACAGCACAGTGGGTTTTAGGGCAGTGAAACTACTCTGCATGACAGCATGTGAGTCCATGTCACCAGACTCTTGTCCAAACCCACAGCATGTGCAAGACAAGCCTGAACCTAACATGAGCTATGGACTCTGGGTGACTAGGATGTATCTGTGAACTCATTGTCTGTAGAACATGCAGGCACTGGTGGGGAAGCTAAGAAGGAGGGAGGCTGCATGTGGGATGCAGGGTACATAGGAAACCTTCGCATCTTCCACTCAGTGTGGCTGTGAACCTAAAACTACTCTAGTGGTAGAGTGCCTATCTAGCATGGACAGGCCCTGGGTTTGATCCCCAGCACTGCAAAACAAAATAGCTCCTTGTGGAGCCAGGCACCAGTGGCTCACACCTATAATCCTAGCTACTCAGAAGGCAGAGATTAGGAGAATTGTGGTTCAAAGCCAATCCAGACAAATAGATTGCGAGACACTATCTCAAAAACACCTTTACAAGAAAAGGGCTAATGGAGTAGCTCAAGGTGTAGGCTCTGAGTTCAGGCCTCAGTACTGCAAAAAAAAATCCTTGTGGCAGTTGAAGGGGCAGTTGAAGGCAGCCCTGGCAAATACTTTGTGAAACCCCATCTCCAAAATAACCAGAGCAAAATGGACTGGAGGAGTGACTCAAGTGCTGAGTGGCTGCTTTGCAAGCGTGAAGCCTTGAGTTCAAACCTCAGTCCCACCATAAAAAAAAAATCCTAAGAAGACAAAAAGGGGAAGTGCATGTGTGTTTCCCCACCCACTCCCAGACCCTCCCCACCACAGGCCCTCCCACTTGCAGGCCTCCAAAAACTCCCTCTGAGTCCTTCTGAATCCCTTCTCTGTGGAAACAAAGAGCCACTTACAAGAGTGAAGTGACAGGGCAGACAAGTCTGTGCCCTCACGGGAGGGGCAATGAGTGCAGTAATGTCACCCTCAGGCAGCAGGAATAGCCCACGTGACTAGTCCTGAAACAAGCACTGGGCTGAGAGCTTGCCAAAGTGGCCACAAAGCCACATGACAGCATACTCTAAAGCCACTAAAGATATACCAGATACTACTGAATGAAGTGCTTCAAAATGGTTATGTGAAATTTACTTCCAAAGAATGGCAGTGTGGCTCCTACAGCACAGCCCTGCATCTCAGATGGGGGTCTCTGGGAAAGAAGCCATGCTGTGAAGAAACTCAAGCAGCCCAGGGCTCCTTGCCACAGCCAATACCCGCTTCCCCCTCATCCTCCTCAGAGGGTGCATGGGGGCTGAAAGGTGGCACCGCCTGCAGTGAGAGCAGGCTATTCCCAACTCCTGCCCCACAGAAGCAGTGAAAGATGACAAGCTACTAGTGTGTGGAAAAGAAAGAGGGCTAAGGCAGCTCAAGGTGCACAGTCTAGATGATCTGCTTCCAGGTATATGCAAATGAACAGGAGCAAGACAGGCACCTGCGTGCATGTCTGTGTTACTGCACTAAAACACACAACACATCTCACATCACACATGTGCAGCACACACCCCACACACCCTACACCCACATCATACACACACACCACACACAGTACAAACCTCACACCATACATAAACATACCAAATACTCCACACCATGCAAGAGCACCTCACACCACAGACACGTGCCAGACACACACACCACACCCCCACACCGCACACCCATCATACACACACACACACCAGATGCCACACATGCCACACTCCACACCCATCATACACACACCAGATGCACACAGACCCCACCACCACCCACCCCACATCAGACACATACACCTTGCATACCCCACACCATACAAGTGTACCAGACAACACAGACCCCACACACCAACTGTACCAGACATGTACAGACCATGCACACTCCACACTATACACGTGACACACACATGCCACACACCCCATACACTCTACACCATACAAGTGCACCAGACACACACAGACTACACACCACACACCATACAACTGTACTAGACACACACCAGACATTCCCCTTGCCCTCATGTGTTCACAGATCTGTTAAAGTCTCTAGGACAGAAACATGTACCGTGATTTCCTCCAAAAAAGGACCTAGTGGCATGGAACAGGGGATATTACCTGTTGCACAGTACCATGACCATCTCCTAGATCTTCTAACTACTGTATTTACTATCCTTTATAAAATAAAAGCTATTAGGAAAGAACTCTCCTGGCCCTCCACACCCCACCCAGGCTCTGGCAGCTCTGGGGCACCTAGTCCTTCTCTCTGCCCTGGTGGCTGTGCTGTCCTGTGTGTCTGTTCCTTGTCTCCCTAGTTTGACCATGACTTTCCAACCACTGCCTCCCCCAGGAATCCTTCCCGCTCCCTCTAGGACTCTTCCTCCCTCTGGGCCTGTCCCACCCAACCCACTCTGGTCCTCTAGTAACTCTGTGCCCAGGCCTGTCAGCCCACCTCTGATGGAACAGGTCTGTGGAAAGCAGGGCTAGGATATAGGGGAGAAGGATAGGGGATGTTAGGGCCCTCCTCCATGCCCCCTTTCAATGACAACATATGGCTGCTGGAGCTAAGAAACAGCCAAACTCAAACAGGTAAGCAAGGAGTCACCTCATGATCCAGCAAGTTCATCCCCAGATATGTGCCCCAAGAACGAAAATGCGTGTCCACACAGCACAGCAGCCAAGAGATTGAAACAACCCAGACATCCATCTGTTGATGGACGGATAAACAAAATGTGCTGAATCCACACTGTGGAATGTTGTCCAGCCATAAAAAGGAATGAGGTACTGACGCAGGCCACAATAGGGATGAATCCTGTGGTCAGTGAAAGAATCCAGACACAAAAAGCCACACGGGGTAGGAGTCTGCTTATAGCAAAACCCAGGATCTGCAAATCCTTAGACACAGTAAAGGAGACAGAGGATGCCGGGCCTGGGGGAGTGTGAGAAAGGACTGCCTAATGTCCATGGGTCTCATTTGGGGTGACTGAAGCATTCTGGGAGTAGGCAGGGGTTGCACAGTCTTGTGAATATACTAAAAGTACTAAGTTGCATACTCTAAAAGGATAAATTTGTAATCTGAGAATTATATTCCAATAAAGCTGTTTAAAAAGATGGAAACTGCCAGTGGGGACCCTAGCATAGACAGGCACCCACCACACAGGGCAGAACTGCTAGGCTTGGGCCTTGTGTCCTTGCTGGGCCTCTTAAGCCTGATATGGCAGGGATACGTTCATCCCTACCTCAGAGGGCTGTCACATGTGTGAGGACTGGGGACTCAATGGCACTAGTTTACATCCTGTTCCCAACCTGGTCCATTTCCCAATCAAGTCTCTGCCTTAGTTTCCTGGGACTCAGGATGAACACAGTTCCTACCTCACAGGCCCATAAGAACAAGCAGCATTCATGCAGGGCGGGGTTGGTCCACCACCGAGGCATGCTGCAATGTTTGCAGGCAGTTTTAGTGTCATAACTGGAGGATGCTCCTGTATCTCCAACAGGTGGAGGCCAGGAATGCAGCTCAACATTGCACAGGCACAGGATGGTCTCCAAGGCAGAGAATGACCTAGCCCCATACACGGGCAGTGCTGAGGCTGAGACCATGACCTGAACAAGATGCTCAGGCTGAATCTCAGAATATCACCTGTCACCATGGTCCCTACATTGTTGGCCTCTGGATCTCTGACTGTCAGGGGCTCAGGTGAGCTCACTGCTCTGTTCCCAGCACCCAGTGCACAGTCCCAGCAAGTGCAGGAAGTCAAGGGATAGCAGAAGCGCCCCTCCCTCGGCCCCCAGTGGATCCCCAGTGGATTTGGCCAGCACTGACCCAGGCCCCCTCCCCTGAGCACCCCTGGGACACTCACAGGAGATGGCGAAGAGGGCCTTGACGCGTACCGTGTCGCAGGAGTCCCGGTCAAGCAGCCGTAGCAGCTTGCGCAGGGCACCAAGGCCCAGGACCTGCTCCTGAATGGCTGCCACATTCTGACTGCATGTGCCAATGAGCTGTGCTGCCCGCCACCGCAGCCCAGCAGACCCCGCCTCCAGGTATCGGCCCACCAGCAGGTGCATGCCTGACAGCTGGCAGAAATCTGTGTAGAAAATGGGAAGAGAATCATGGGTTAAGGGCTGAACTATGCCTCCCACCATATTCACAGGTTGATGTACTAACCTTCTGAGAATGTGAATGAATGGGAACAGGGTCTATGGAGAGGGACTGATTAATAAGTATATACTAAATGCCACGGAACTATAAATCTGAAAAATGCTTAATTATGTTTTGTGAGTTTTATCTCAATAAATAGTAATAATAGTGCCAGGTATAGTGGTGTACATTTGTAATCCCACCTATGTAGGAGGTGAATATAGAAGAAGCATGGTCTGAGGCATGCCTGGGCAAAAACTATAACACCCTACCTGAAAAAGAAACAACAAGAAAAAAAGGCTGGATGCATGGCTTAAGTGACTGAGTGCTTGCCTAGCAAGCACAAGGCACTAAGTTCAGTACTACCAAAAAAAAAAAAAAAAAAAAAAAGTGGCACTAATATGACTCAAAAATCAAAACAGTGCTGGGTGCTGGGAATTCACACTACTCAGGAGGCAGAGATTAGGAGGATCTGGTTTGAAGCAAATAATTCACAAGACCCTATCTCAAAAATACCCAACACGTAAAAGGGTTGGTGGAGTGGCTCAAGTGGCAGAGTGCCTGCCTTGCAAGCATGAGGTCCTGAGTTCAAACCCTAGTACCACCAAAGAAGAAAAAAACACAATAGTACCAATAAGTGAGTAAACAACCATGTTACAGAATGTTACCTGCAGTCTATCTTCATCAGCATTGTGTATCCTTACTAAGAAAAACAAAGAAGTCAGGCATGATGCTGCCTATCTATAATTCCAGCACTCAGGTGGCTGAGACAGGAGGATCTCAGGATCAGACTATTTCAAAAACAAACAAGTCAGGTGCCAGTGGCCTATGCCTGTAATCCTAGCTACTCAGGAGGCAGAGATCAGGAGGATTGGGTTTCAAAGCCAGCCCAGGCAAATAGTTTGTAAGACCCTATCTTGAAAATAACCAACACACAGCACCCTCTCTTGGGATACCCCCACAACTCTGGAAGCTCTACTCTCCCACTTTACACTTTCCTATTTTAATAAACTCTCCCGCTTTCCTCGGAAAAAAAAAAGGGAGGGGAGGGAAAGAAAAGGGAGGGGAGGGAAAGGAAAGGGAGGAGAGGGGAAGGGAAGGGAAGGGTGAGAAGAAATATACCCAGCACAAATAAAAGAATTGATGGAGTGGCTCAAATGGTACAGCACCTGCCTAGCAAGTATAAGGCCATGAGTTCAAATCCCAGTGCCGCAAAAAAATATATACATATACCTATATATGCATGTATGTGCATGTGTGTATGCATGTTCATGTACACAGAGAGGTGACCAGGGAGGAAGTGATCTTTGGCATTAACTCTCATGGTGACTAGTGAGGTGTGAAAGTCACTGCCACTGCTGTGGGTGGGGAGAGCACAGTGCTCAGCACATGGCAGCAGCTCAATAGAGATCCCCTGATCGAGTGAAAATGGAAATGAAAGAGCAGTCCTTGAAAGCCATCCTGTGGTTGGGGCGGGGCGCTCCTGGAATACAGAGGCCTTCCCAGGCTTCAACCTGTCCATCCTTGATTCCTCAGCCTGCGTACTGGCTCTGGGCCTGGAGCTGCACAAACTGAGGCCCCTGTGGTTCTCACATCCATCCTCACCTGAACATGGACATGAGCAGGGACTCCAAGAACTTCAGGACCTGCCCAACTTCACAGTGCCACACAGCAGCACAGCCTGGACCATGGTCCAAGGAAGGGATGCACCAAACCCTCAGCCTCAACAACAGCACACACTGCCCCTCCAAGAGAAGCAAAGTCTCACTTGGCATTCACCTGCTCAAACCTACAAGCTCTGCTGCACAGAATACACCCCAGTGAGTACCTTGGCCTTCCAGGCCAATTCTGAACATGACAGGCACATTCCCATCTCAGCACATCTGCACCAGCTATTCCTGCTGCTTGGAATGCATTTTGCAGATAATCCCATGACTCACAACCTCACCTCAGTTCTCAGTTCTCTAATCAAATGCTGCCCCTTGGAGAGGCCTGACCTGACCACTCCACCCACTGCCCCACCTCTCATACCCTAGGAAATGGTGGTGGGTTCCCAGGAGACCAGGAGGGAGATGACTTATCAGGGAAGTAGCCAACAGAACCCACCACCAGGCTGGCTATGTGTGATGAGAAAAGGGGCCTGCTCCTCACAGCAATGGATGGGAGAGTATGGAAGTTGGGAGGGGGCTGATGGTGTGGTCCTCAAGAAAAGGGACAAGGGCTGAGCTGCTTGGGACATGGGCAGAAGGGAAAGGACGTTGGTTGGGAATGAGGAGGTACCTGCGGCATTGTCCATGTTCTCACACAGGTCAGCCAGCAGCTCCAGGGACCCCTCACGTTCCTGCTGGTCAGAGGCCAGCTCGGCTTCTCCAGCAGTGGAGGGTGTGGGCTGGGACAGCACTCGGAGGCAGCTCTTCATCTGCTCCACCTCCTCTCGCTGACCTCGGAAGGCGGCCGACATGGCCTCCTGCAACCACTGGCGCCTCTGCAGGATGAGGGTGGGGAGAGCAACAGACATCAATAAGTGATTACTTAGGGAGCCACATCATCAGCAGGTGTCTAGGAGCATCTTTTTTGTTGTTTTTGTTTTTGGAGACAGAGTCTCCCTATGTAGTCCAGACTGGCCTTGAACTCATGATCCTCCTGCCTCAGCCTCCAAAGTGCACCACTACACTCAGCTCTAGGGGGCATCATTTCCATTCACAGACTCTTTTCTAGGCACTAGGGACTTGGTCCTGAGTCACACAAGTAGAAACTCATGGGGTGGGGCTCACATTCTGGTGGGAGAGTACACTACAGAGCATGAATAGCATGTAATATGGTGCTGTGACTGAGCAGGGAGGAGGATCAGCAGAGCCAAGGTGGGGCAGCAGAGTTCCACAGCGTGTCTTAGAAAGGACATATGTGAGTAAAGAGTAAGCAAGAACCTGGGCACAGAAGCATGTACCTGTCATCTCAGCTACATGGGAGGCTGAGATCAGGAAGATCACGGTTCAAGACCTGTCCTGGCAAAAAGGTCTGAAGACCCCTATCTCAACAGAAAAATCTGGACCTGGTGGTGCATATCTGTCATCACAGCTATTGGAGAAAAAGTAAAATAGCAGGATTGTGGTCCAGGCTAGCTAGACAAAAAGCGAGACCCTATCTCAAAAATAACCAGAGCAACAACTGCATTTTTGGGCTACTGGAGTGGCTCAAATGGTAGAGAGCCTGCCTGGCAAGCATGAGGCCCTGAGTTCAATCCCCAGTACCACCAAAATAAATAACCAGAGCAAAGAGGCCTGAAGATGTAGCTCAAGTGGTGATGTGGCTCAGTGGTAAGGTGCCTGCCTAGCAAGCATGGAGTCCTAAATACAACCCCCATTGCTGCCAAATAAGTTAGGAAAGCCAGGAAGCAGAATGTGCTATGGCACACCTATAATCCCAAGAGACAGAGACAGCAGGATTACAAGTTCAAGGCCAGTTTAGGCAAAGTTAGTAAGACCCTGTGTCAGAAATAAAATACAAATGAAAAGGCTGGGAGCATAGCTCAGCAGTATAAGCACTTCCCTAGCATGTGCAAGGCCCTAGATTCAAGACCTAGCACCATTAAAAAAAAGAAGCTGGTGAGGGAGGAGTCAGGCAGATACCTAGGAGAAGAACAACAGAGAGAACAAGAGGATGATAGGGCTGAAGCAGAGTGAGTGAAGGAGGAAGGAGGAAGGGATAGAAGGTGAGGGAGTGAAGGATACCCTGGGAGCAAACCAGGTCAGGTCTTGTGGACTGTCATAAAAACATCTGGATTTTGCTCTAAATAAGATGAGGCACTAGGAGGTTCTGAACAGAGGAGAGAGGAGATAGACTGGCAGAGGCTGGAAGACTCAGAAGGAGGCTGAGGCAGTGATCCAGGCAAAGAGAGCTGATACGAAAAGAAGGGGCAGGGTAAGAGTGTTGGGGAGCTGAGATTCTAGACTTCTTTTTGAAAAACAAGCTAATATGATTAGCTGAGATGTGATGTGAGGGGGAGAAGAGGGGAAAGAGAGGACAGGGGAGGGGAGGGGAGGGAAGGGGAGAAAGAGAGGTGTCAAGAAAAACTCCAAGGTTTTTATCCTGCACAACTAGGAGGAGACGGAAAGGCAGCAGGACAGCAAGTTTGGAGGGGGAATAGCAGATGAGAGTTCACTTTCCATCCTGTTAAACATGAGAATCTCTTATACATCCAGGTAAAATACCAAGAAGGCTCCCTGAAATTCAGGGCAGAGGTCCAACTTAGACCTAAGAGTTTCTCAAGCTTAGCTCTATTGACACTCTGATCACTCTGTGGGGTGGTGACAGTCCTATGAACTCCAGGATGTTGAACAGAGCCCCTGGCCTGTACCCACTAGCAGCCAATATCACCCTCCTGCCAGTTCTAACAACCAAGAATGTCACCACTCATTGCCAATGTCCTCTGAGGAATAAAGTTTCTCAGTGGACCACCACTGGCCTCCAGATACAAATTTGAGACTTGTCAGGGTTAAGTTTCAGCATGACATGGAATCACAAAAAAACTGAGTATGGGGAAGAGAAGAGATCCCAGGCTCAGTGGGGACAGGGGGGAAAAAGAGAGAGATTCCAGGACTGAGTCCTGATGTACTCCATCATTAAGAGGCTGAGGAGACCAGGCACAGTGGCACCAGGCTGTCTTGCTAGCTAGCTACTCAGGAAGTGGAGATTGGGAGGATCAAGCTTGGAGTCCAGCCTGAGCAAAAAGTTCCCAGAGACTCCAACTCTCTGTAATCACAGTCATAGTCTTCAACTATGATTTCCTTCCTCATTGTTGCAAAGTTCCCATGACATGATGTATATAAGCAGATTAGCACAATGTTTCATGTACAGTGACTACCAGCTAAACATTACATATAATAATGCTACCAAATCTTCAAAACAATTCTGAGATATTATTGTTAGTCCCAACACACAGATGCAAAAAACTGAGATACAGAAAGGTTGTGATTTACCCAAGCAAGGTCACAGTCAACAACTAGCAAAATCTGAAGTCAAGCTGTGCAATGCCCTGTGTGCAGCCCTACATAACTGGAACCTCAGATCCACTCTATGAAGTATTGTTATTCTTACCATCATCAATTTGTAAATGAATAAAGAACTTGAGACTCAAAAGATTAAGTAACAAACCAAGGTCACATGATTGGACAACACTGAATCCAGATCTGTCTGGCTCTGGAGAACCCTTGCATGGTTTTGTTGTTGCTGTTGTTTTGCTTTGTTTCTGCCTTCTAGATCAGTGCTGTGATCCAGGGATCAGTCCCCTCAGACACTTGATATCTGACCTTCAACCTACAATGACCCCACTTAGCACAAATACAGCCCACCATGCCTCCACATCTAGACTCCTGCCTCCCACCCAGAAAGACCCAACTTTTAGCTTTCCAGGCCACACTTTCCAAGACACCTCTGTCCCCAGGCCAGTCATCTCAACTTCCTGGGTTCCCAAACTTTACCTCCTCACTCATGGGTTCCGGAGGGGTATCTGGCTCCTCAGAGCCCGCCGTGATGGCCATCTGCAGCAGGCCTTGGAGGCTACGTGGGGGCCGGGGAGTGCCGGAACCCCCCTCCGAGGAGCCGCTGCCCCCCGACGAGCAACCCTGCGAGGCCGGGGGCAATGCCAGGGGGAGGCGACTGCCCCCCGAGCCTTTGTCTGCCATGGACCGTTTGTGAAGGAGGGAAGAATGTGTTGAGGAGAGAAGATGGTCACCGCTGAGACAGCTCTGACGTCCTGATGGGTTGACTTCTGGGGGGTCTGCTGAGAAGGTGGAGTTTTAGGAGTGCTCGGCGCCCCGCCATGACCCCAAACTACTCTGCCAACACCTCCCCTTGGCCATAGCGCCCTTTCCTTCATACCAATAGGACCCTTCCCCAAAGCCCTAAGTCCCTCCTTCATCCCTAGCAACAGGCCCCACCCACTATCCCTGGCAACAACCCCCTCACCCCAACTCCACAGCGTGCGTCCCTGTCTCTTAGCAACCCAATGCCCCGCCTCCATTGCAATAAGATCTCCCTTCAGTTTCCTTAGCAACAAGTCTCCTCCCATCTCTCCAAAGAGGGGCGCCACAGCCGGGCAGATCTCACCTTCCCGGGCCTCGAGCCACCACCGCACCTAAAGACAGAGTCGCCTGCACTTGACTCTGCTGGGCGTCGCCATCTTGGCCGGAAATTGCGCACGGTCTCACCCGGAAGTTCCTGACGCACCTACCAGCCTTCGCGCAGTAAATGAGGCTGAGGCCATTTGCCCGGCTCTAAGCCCTTCCCTTTGGCACATACCGCATTGGGCCCCGCCCCTCCCGGCCAAGCCCCGCCTCCTCGCTTGGCCCCGGTCTTTATACTCGCGCTCCTAGTCTAAGCCCCGCCCCTCCAGCCCTGTTTGCATACCTTAGCGATCTCACTTCCTTTTCCCTATTACAAGCTCCACCCCTGCTCCGTGTAGGCCCCGCCCACTCCTGTGCGCCTCTCCCCTGTTCTAGGCCTTTCCTCCACTTTCAATTAAGCCCCGCCTCTGCCCTAAGCCTCGCCCCAGCGTATAGGCCACGCCCCCTTTGCAGCTCCAGACGTGTGTGTGGTCCCTGGTTCTCACAAAATCTGGTTTTACCCCATCTTGTACTGGAGCTTTGGGATCTCACTCTTAATAACTGGCCTATACAGCTCTAGGCACAGCCTCTCAGCCTCAGTTTACCCATTCATCAAATGGGGCTACAGTGTGAACCTTTCAACCATCTCTCATAGTCTCCTCCCTGACAGCCAGGTGCAGAGGAGGGGATTCTGTAGACCTGTAGTAGAGTCAGGAAGTAAAATGACCCCAGAGCCTGGGTCAGGATTCAGAGCGCCAAAGGAGTCTAGGAACTTGCTAGGGCAGGCTGGTCTGCAGGGGTGTGGGCCTGATCTGGGAGAGGGAGGAGGTATTTGCGTTGGGTTGGCTTAAAGAAACATAATCCATCAGATGGGGCTGCAGTCAGTCACAGAAGTATGGGGCCCCTGTGGCCTTGTTTTGCAGGAAAGACTTTAGGAAGAGATGGGAACAGCAAACAGGCTTGATGTGTGTGGAATTTGTAGCTCTGTAATGGGGTCTGGGCCTGTGGGTACTTCCTATTGCTGTTGTTAGGAAATTATCAAAAACTTATCTTGCAGTTCTGGAGGCCAGAAGTCCAAAATGAGTGTCACTAAGCCAAAGTCAAGGCGTCGGCAGGTTTATTATTTTTTTTCCCATATAGGGTTTTGAACTCAGTGCCTCATATTATGTTATGCAAACACTACTATGCAAGCCATGCCCCCAGCTCTTTGTGCCTTTGTTATTTGTCTTTTCCTTTTCTTTTTGTGGTACTGGGACTTGAAGTCAGGACCTACACCTTGAGCCACTCCACCAGCCCTTTTCTGTGTGTGTGTGAAGAGTTTGTTAATGACATGGTCTTGTGAACTATTTGCCTGGGCTGGCTTCGAACCTCAATCCTCCTGATTTCTTCCTCCTAAGTAGCTAGGATTACAGATGTGAGCCACCAGCGCCAGGCACTTAGTTATTTTTCATGTAGCAAGCATCTCCTGTTTTTTTGCCTGGTTGGCCTTGATCCTCCTACTTATGCTTTCCCCTTATCTGGAATTGCAGGGATGATGACCATGCCACCTTCTTTTTTGAGATTGGGGTCTTGTTAACTTTTTGCTAACATTTCACCTGGGTTGGTCTTGAATCGCAATCGTCCCAATCTCTGCTTCCCAAGTAGCTGGAATTACAGATGTGATACACTGTGCCTGGTTCCTTCTGTCTTTTCATTATTTATATATTTATCTACTTATGGTGGTACTGGGGTTGGACCTCAGGCCTCATTCTTGCTAAGCAGGGACTCTACCACTGGAGTCATGCCCCACAAGCCAGCCAGGATTCCTTCTCGAGAATTTTCCTTACCCCTAAGAGCCTCTAGAAGCTACTTTCCTTCCTTAGCTCCTGGCCAAACCATTCTGACCCCTGCTTGCATCTTCTCTGACTCTGACCCCTCCTTCATCCCTCTTACAAGGATCTTGTGATGACATTGGGCCCACCCAGGCAAGCAGGATATGCTCTCAACATCCTTAACTCTCTCACATCTGCAAAGTTATTTGGCCGTATAAGGGAACATATTCACAGGTTCTGGGAACTAGGAGGTAGGTGTCTGTGTACTGGTCTATCTCTAATGTATATGGATGTATTGTCATGTCTAATACCATCTAATGAGCTAGGCGTTGGTGGCTCATGCCTATCATCTTAGCTACCCAGGCAGAAATCAGGAGGATTGAGGTTCAAAGCCAGCTCAGGCAAATAGTTCTCAAGACCTGTCTCGAGACCTATCTAAAAAAGGGCTGGTGGAGGTGCTGAGTTCAAGCCCTTGTACCACACACACACACACAAAAAAACACCTAATGTGTAAATGTATATACAAAATGTAATTGTAAATGATGTGTGTGTGTGTATGTGTGTTTGTGTGTGTGTGTGTGTATGATTGCCATGCTAGTAGCTTAGATGAAAATTTCTGTGTACCCTATGAAAGCCATAGGCTTAAACCAGGGCATGATGAGGCATGGCTATAATCTCAGCACTCAGGAGGCTTGTAAGTTCAAGGCCAGCCTGTCTACAAATGAGACTGTCTCAAAACAAACAAACAAACAAATGACTTTACAATGACATATAAACAGTATAATCATACAGCTATCTATAGGGAGGCACTTTGGAGTGAAGGGGCCCTATTATTTACAGAATACCGGGTATAACCCAAGGACATATGGTCACCTGCTTCTAAGGTCATATGGATCTGCTTCTTCATTTCCTCTCCATCTGCCTTGCTACTCCTGTCAGGCCACACTGGGCCCTTTAAACTGTCTTTTATTTTGTTTTGGGGTGGATTTTTTTTGGCAGCATTGGGGTTTGAACTCAGGGCCTCACTCTTGCTAGGCAGGTGCTCTTAGCACTTCAGCCACTCTACCAGCAATACACTAGCCCCTTCAATGTTTCTAGGATACCAGGCACACTCCTGCTTCAGGACCTTTGCACTTGATGTTTCTACTGTCTTGATTTCTTCTTGCTTTTATCTGTATGTTTCACCTTATCTAACACCTACCCCACTGAAAGAACACTTCCTAACCCCCTACCCTACATAGTCACCTCTTCAGCACAAATCATGATGGCCTGACAATATCTAGTGACATGTTACCTTGCTGATCAGCTGCCTCTTCCACAAGCATGGGACCTCCATAGAGCAGGGATTTCTTTTGATTTAATTCCTGCCATATCCTTACCAACTGGAGCAGTGCCTTCTTCAGGTTTGGCACTCAAAAATAGATCCGTGGAATTAGGGTGGTTAAGTAGGCTTGGGCAATGGAACCTAAAGGCTCACGGGTACAATCTACAGGGGATTTGTGGATTCTGCCCAGGATGACCATGGACCTGTGGATGTGGGCAGTAGGATGTATAGATGGTACTGGGACCCACAGGAAGATAAATGACAAGGACAAAATACATGAGGGTCTCAGGAGGTTCTAGAAGTTTCTCTGTAGTAGCAGGAGAATCTAAAATCACCTTGGGCTGTGGGTAAATATTTAACAACTTCTGAGAAATTGCTTTTGCTAGAAGTGGAGACTATTGACTTGGACCTGCAAGTGCTCTGCCTCCATCTTGCATCTGTCTCCTTTGCTCTGAGCCTTGTTTTCTGCAGTCACCTTGGGTTGGGGAAGGACAGGCTGATGGATAAACATCTTGTGACAAGAGTCAAAACTACCCCCCAGGCAACAATGACTGCTTTATCCAGACAAGGCCCTTATCCAGACAAGAAATTGAAACCTATCCTGTCTCAATTTCTTTTTTTTTTTTGATGGACTAGGGTTTGAACTTAGGGCTTCATATTTGCAAAGTGAATACTCTACCTTGAGCCACATCTCTTGTCCATTTTGGAGATGGAGTCTAACAAAATATTTCCCTGGGCTGGACTCGAACCGTGATCCTTCTGATTTCAGTCCTCAATAGCTAGGATTACAGGCATCAATTTCTCCTTTTTTTTTTTGGTGGTACTTAGATTTGAACTCAGGGCCTCACACTTGCTAGGCAGGAGCTTTACCACCTGAGCCACACCTCCAGCCCCCAATCTGCCCATACCATTGTCCCAGAGTGCTTAATAATGATGCATACTTCTAACCTCTTCTCCAGTTCTTCCTCTATATAAACCCAAAGCTCATGCCTGTACCCCGAAGATGGGCTAAAGTGCTGCTCTACCTCTGCCTCTCCTATGGAGACGCTGTGTAATAAACCTTTCTTTGAACTTCCCTGTTCCTATTTGGTGTATTGGGGTGAGTGGCCAGACTTGAGATGTTGGACCCCCCAGAGTCAGGCCTCTGCTCTAGAAGTCCAGTTACAGACATGGGACCCTAGAGCTGGTAGGGACTCAGACCTTGCCCAAGGAGACCTAAGTGGTGATCTTGGGGGGCCTGGGGAAACACATAATTCTTGGGTCACCAAATCCCTTCCCTTTTCTGCTTTTGCCTCTGGTGTCCTCTGCCCTTCCAGTCTGTCCCCATCTTTCCCCAGGATCAGTCCCTCGACCTGTGTGTGCTCCTTGTACCCCTGGCAGTCCCTGCCTGTACCCTTCTTTCCTTCCTTCTCTTTTTCTAGCTCTTTGCATTTGTCTCCGCCTGTCTGTCTCTGCTTCTCAACAACTCACTCTGTCTCCCCGTCTCTATGCCTCTGCTGCCCTCCATTCCTTCTCTACTGTCTCTACCCTATCTTCCTGTCCCTCCATCTTTCTCTCTTGCCTCACCCATCTCTAGTAGTCTGCATCTCTCTTGTCATTCACACTTCCTCTTTGTGTATCTCCATCTCTGCCCCATCTGTTGGCTCTGTTTCTCCCTCCATCCCTTCTGCTCCTGCATCCCTGCCTTCCTCCTGCATCCCTCTACCCAGCCCTGCATCTTCCCACCTCCTCTCCATCCCTCCAGCTCCCAGTCCCGCCCCTTGCCTCCCCTCCTCCCCCCTCCGAAAGGGTTAACTTTGGGGAAGGGCCCGGAGTCCCCGGATGGTGATGTCAGCGTGCGGGAGAGAAAGGACGAGGTGGCGGGGGGGAGGCGGAGAGGAGGAGGAGGCGGAGGAGAGAGGGCGCGTGGGGGGGCGGGGGGGACCTCGGCCTGCAGCATCCGCCGGCCCGCACCTCAGACCCCCCCTGCAGGGGGAGGCGCAGGAAGGGGGGGGCCGGCCAGGGACCGGCT